AGGAGGAAGTGGATGAGGAAGTAGAGGAGGACGAGGAGATGGAGGTGGAAGAGGAGGAGGAAGAGGAGGAGGAGTAGGAGGAGGAGGAGGTGGAGGAGGAGGAAGTGGAGGAGGAAGAGGAGAAGGAGGACGGGGAGGAGGTGGAGGAGGAGGAGGAGGAGGAGAAGGAGAAGGAGCACGCCGGCGCGAAGAGAGGCGACGGGCCAGCAGGAGCAGGGGGGCGAGAGAACGGACAGAGGCCCGCCCAGGCGCAAGAGAGAAGGAGACGAGGCGGAGGACGAGGGGAGGATGGGCGAGGACGAGGGCGAGGACGAGGAGGATGGGCGAGGTGGAGGAGGACGAGGACGAGGACGAGGAGGACGAGTGATGATAGGCGAGAAGGAGACGAGAGGGAGATGAGGAGGACGACGAGGACGAGAGAGAAGGAGACGAGAAACGCGGAGGCGACGGGGAGGATCAGGAGTCGTCATCGTAGTCGCATCTAGGGGTTCGGGGCCCAGATAATCAGATCAAAAAGAAATGTCAAAAGCGAGCCCACCGCAACCCCCTCAAACCCTCCGTTTCCTCCTCCTCCTCCTCCTCCTCCTCTTCCCCCTCCTCCTCCATCTCCTCCCACCCCCCCCTCTTCTCGTCTTGTCTCCCTCCCCCTCCTTTGCTGGGCTTATGGCGGTGCAGAATCCCCAGTAACAGGTCGCACGCAACAGCAGAGCCAGGAAGCAGCGGCGGCACTGCGCGGGACCGTGCCACCGAGCCGCGGCAGCCGACGCCGAGGGCGCAGGGCTTAACCTCCTCCTCCTGCTCTTCCCGCCCTTCGTGTCCGCCTCACCTCCCTCCCCCTCCCCCTCCCGCCTGCCACCTTCTTGTCCTTTCCCTCTCCCTCCCCCTGCCCCTCCGTCGTCCTCGTCCGAGTCCTGCTCCTTCTCCCCCTGGTGAGGCGTCGGGCTGTGCGCAAGTAGCCCCCCCCCCCCGCCCACCCGCAGATAGTCTGGCCTGGCCTCAGCAAGCCTCCCGAGTAGCCAGGGGCGGTCGCAACACCGCAAACATGGGGCGCGGAGCATCTCAGGCGCGCCGCCGGAGACGGCGACAAGGCGGCGAGACCGCCCTGGGCTGCACAGGGGCCTGCTGAGGGCAGCAGGGGCTACCTGGCGGGGGGGGGGGAGCTGCCTGCCCTGAGATCCAGTACGCGAAACGAATGCACCCTTGCGAAAAATCACGACCGGAGCCCGAGACCCGCTCTGTCTGCGGCATTTTCCCAGGCGGATCGATCTGTGATGGCCCCACGGGCCCGAAGCGAGGCAGACCACGCCCTGAAGGAACAAAAAGTGCAACGCCAGGATCCCCGGGGCTGCCTGCGCGCAGCCAGAAGCCGCCGCACCTGGACCCTGGCCGAGGGGCCACGATCGGGGGGGATCGGCACAGGGGGGGAGGCCTCGACCTGGAATCGGCGCAACACCGCCGATCGGCGACAAGCCCCCGACGGAAAATTCCCGTGTTCCTGAGCGAGGCGGGCTGTCCGACCCTTCGCGGCGATCAGTGGGCGAATGGGGGTCGATGCATTTTCCCTGAGCCCATCTAGAGGCCTCCTAGATCTGAGACGATGGGATCGGAGGATCGCGCCGCATCGCCAAAGCATCGGCGATGCATCGGCGATACAGCAGCGATGCATCAGCGACATCGGCGATACATCGGCGACGCCAGCGTGGAGAAAATCGGGCTCCGCGTCGCGCCGCATCCCCGATGCAAACGCGATGCGGCGCGACCTTCCGACCCCATCCACTTCCGACCCCACCTGAAAGAGGCCTAGACTATCCAGGGGAGGTAAGAATCGAATCGATGAGTCGGGTCGGCAATCGAAATGAAACGGATCGGCAGAAATCGGCAGCCGAATCGGGAAAAGTCGAATCGGCGGAACTCGGCACACTCGGAGCCCAAATCGGAATCCCAAGTCGATTCGAATCGGAATCAAAAGCCGTCGAAATCGAATCGAACCAAGTCGGGGGAATCGAAACGAGCCCTGCTATCTGCCATTCCCCACCCCCGTCGTTGCCCCCGACTGGCGGGCGTCTCCTTTCGCACGGTGCCCCCGGTGCCCGCGGGGCGCACCGGGCTCGCCGCCGCGCGCCCGGCCTCGTCGGGCTGGGCCGGGTCCTCCTTCGGGGGGGGCGAACGAGGTCGAGGCGCTGAGGCGCTTGCCAGCGCTCGGGCGTCCCATCCCCCGTGCCCTTGTTCGGCCTCGTGCGCTTCTTTTTCGCGCGATGGTCCAGGGAGGCTCCTCGTCTCCCGTAGACATGAGGATTCGACCACAGCAGGCCACTCAAGGATGTCAATTCTCAAGTCCTCAATAATTTGCAGACAGTGCATCGAGTGACAGCAGAACATTAGATGCTTGGGGTAATCCAGGAGTCTCATCGACGGTCCCCGCCCGAAAAAAAGGTGCACACGCACGAGCGATGCCGAGGAGGCGAGGACCGCTCTCGGCTCGGGAGGGGCCCTAGCTTTCGGGCCGCAACCCCGGACTCGGGGAGCAAGAACAAGAAGAACGTAGACAGAAGGTTGTTCGGAGATCCGCGCCACGGACGGAGGTCGTCGCCATGCCTGGCCTCGCGTGCCAGAGCCAGCCAGCTCGCCTCGGGTCGGCCGAAGCCGGGGGGGGGGCAAAGGGATGGATAACGATCCTGACCTTCCACGAGGGCTACGAGATAGCGCCAGGACCTTTGATATCAAGGCCAAGTCGAGGCTTGGAGCAGTCCTGATGATGGGTCTGTTGGTCTGGAAAGCTATTTGTAAGCACTCTGGAAGGTCTGGGGAATGGGATGCACAAGGGGGATTCACGAATCGGCTCACGCAACTGCATCTCCTGGCGCCTCCCGGCGCCGCAGCCGCCCGTGCATCGAGGAAAGGACCTGGCGGCGAGAGCCGAAACCAGCTACACTACATGCAGCAATCTTCTTCTCTACCCTCTCACAAACTGGTAATTAATTAAAGCTGGCCTCAACAGGCCCCTGGGTAGCCGGGGCGGTCTCAACACCCCACGCGCCCTAGGGGCGCCGCCGGAGGCGGCGCTGGGGTGTCGAGACGGGCCCAGACTACTCGGGGGCCCCGTGGAGACCAGCAGGGACTACGAAGCCTTGTCCCCAACCACCACTTTCGTCCGACCGAGCGTGCAAAAACGATCAGCCTCGTCCAGCATCCAAATCAGACGTCGGCTGGCGGGGCGAACCGCGCCCCGCGACCCTGGGGCAAATCCCCTCGCAGGAGGCTGGAAAGCCCATGAGGGGAACGATCCTCCTCCTCCTCCACCTCCTCCTCCTCCTCCCTCCTCCTCCCCCCCCTCCTCCTCCCTCCTCCTCCTCCTTCTCCTCCTCTTCCTCCTCCTCCTCCTCCTCCTCCCTCCTCCTCCTCCTCCTCCTCCCCTCCCCCTTCTCCCTCCTCTCCTCCTCCCTCCTCCTCTCCTCCTCCTCCTCCTCCTCCTCCTCCTCCTCCTCCTCCTCCTCCTTCCTCCTCGAAGGGGAACTCCGCGGGGGGGGGGGTCACGACGCTGGAGGGTTGGCTCAATGATTTTTCTCTCGATGCAAACACTCCATCTGCAACTAATACCCATGAATTACTCGAAATGCCGTGACCAACGGCCGCCACATCGTAAGCTCACAGAGGAGGAGCGAATGGAAGTAGAAAGAGGGTAGGCAAGAGGAGGGGTCAGGGCGCTGAAGGAACGGGCTCAAGTTGAGGCAGCATTGGCTTGGAATCGGCGGTGCGCTGCCAATCAGACCAGCGACAGGCCCCCGACTGCGGCACCGCCGCTTCTTGGGAGGGGTGGGGCACCCGGGCCCCGATTGGCGATGAAGGGGCGACTGGGGGTCGCTGCTTCTCTCCAGCGGAGTATGCAGCGTGAAAGCGAACGCGTCCTTGAAAAAACTCCCGCAGGTTATGAGCCCGGCGCGATGGCCTTAGATCGCTTCTTTGGAATACATGTGCGACGGCAATCAATACAATAGACATTCCGATTCCCTCCTTCGATGATCTGGATCTCGATGACGATTCTCGTCCAGCCGATCGTGATCGTGTCGCCCCTTTTTCACACTTGTTTCACACACACACACACACACCTTTGACACATACTACTTTCACTGTGATGGACAGTCGTGACGCCGCGCCACGCCCGACTGGAAGCACAATCCGCGGTGGGTTCCCAGAGACACCATCACAACAGCAATCTAAACACACTCTACGGACTCTACGTGCCGACACGGACAATCGCGATGCTGCGCCACGTCCGACTGGAAGTGTTGAGCATCGGCCACAACAGGGACAGCACGCAGGAACAACACCACGCCCACAGGACACCAGACAAGCCTTCCTCATGGCACTAATGGGGGAGAATTTAGCTGAAGTGGCTCGCGAGCTCTCTGCTGCCCGCTCCGGCGGCGGCGACGGCGGCAAGCGCCCGTTGCCCGCCTTGCCGGGCAGCGCAAAAGGCTGCGCTGCCGAGCGTTTCCGCTTGGCGCCCGTAAGACCCAAACGAATCTGGCTGGGTGGTGTGGGCTGCAGTCGCAAGGGTTCGCGAAAGCCGTCCTCGCGTCCCTCCACGGTCCCACCCCGGACCCATCCTGGGAGCGCAACGAGCCCCGGTTCACCAAGGCAAACGGAAACCTTGAGTTTGAACTGCGCGCGCACGCCAACGACGACACAAGCCTCCACTGGACGGGTGTTGCTCGCGCAGGCGGGGTATCCATGCTAGCTTCACTCCACGACGCCATGGCTTCGGCCACGGCGCACACAGCAACTTGCACGACAAGTTTGCGTCACCAGTGCCAGTCTCAGACCACGGCAAGCTCCAACGCTCGCTGAAACTGCGGCAGGCGGAGCTATCCGAGCTTCGCGCCGCCAACTCTGGCACGCTAGATGTCCTGCGAGCCCCGCTTGAGATAATAGAAATGACCTCCCCGGTCAACCCGGACGCCTTTTTTCAATGGCGGAGGCCAAGGCAGGCATTGGACTGGAGAGGCGACCTCTGCGCAAAAGGCGCGGGCTCCAACGAACGCAGCGCGCGCCGACGGAAACGCCGAAGGGAATGACAAGGACAAACACAAGGACAAGCGCAAGACCAGCAACGGCAAGGGCAAGGACCAGCAAGCTTGGTTCCCACGTTCCTGCTACCTCAGCGGGCACTGCCGTTCGGGCAACACCGCAACACCTGCAAGTTCAACCGCGCTGGCAACAACAACGCGAGCAAGTCCTTACCAAAGGACGCGTGCCGCATCTGCCATTAGCCTGGACACTGGGGCAACGAATGCCCGCGCAAGGACTCTGGAACACTCCCTGGGGTTGGGCCCCGGGCGGGACAAAGACGGGACACCACGGGACTCACGTTTTGGGACACCATGGGACACCTCGGGGAACCACATCGATCTCAATATCGATCTCAGTATCGATCTCACTCAACGGGACACCACGGGACACCACGGGACACCACGGGACACCGCGGGACACCGCCAGGCACCGCCAGACGGGCGGGCGGAGGAGAATCATTTGTCTTGACTTCGCCCTAGGCCCTAGCCGCGGCGGACACCACGGGACACCACGGGACACCACGGGACACCACGGAACACCACGGGCCACCGCCGGACGGGCGGGAGGGGGAGAATCATTTGTCTGGACTTCGCCCTAGCAACGGCGGGTTCATTCCACTCGCGCGCCCACGCAGCTTCGCCTCGCCCGCACGCACGACACGAACGAAACGAAACGACTTCCCGGATGGGGTCTCCGGTCCCCTGCGATCTCACCCCCCAACCTCCGATGGCTGGGTCCTTCGCCAGGATAATTTCTGTCCACGAGCCCTGCGGCCTCTGCAGACTCCCACCGAACCAGATGCCAGGCCCGAAGGCGCTGAGCTATCATCGACCACGCGCAGGGGCGACCCTGGGCAAGAGTGACCTCTGGTGCGCGGCACGAGGGGCCCGCGGGGAGGCCAAATCCAACCGCGCAGGCCAGTGCTGGGGGCACCACCTTTGCTCGGCGGCGAGCGAGGGGGGGAGGAAATGAGAAGGGGCGGGCCTTCTCAGAAGGCTCGGAAATCCCCCGGCCTTCTGAGGAGTTGTCTGAGCCTTCCCCGAAGACGCAAAAAACCTCTCAGAAGGCCGGAGAGCTTCTGGGGAGCCCCGCCGCCTTCTGAGAAGGCCATCTCCTTCTTCTGTGCCCGGAAGGGCCCCTTTAGGGGCCCTGAAAGGCCTGTTTTCGGCAGCCCTCGCTGCCCCCCTCCCCCTCATCGCCCCCCCATCACGCGCCCTCCGAGGAGCCCGCGCGAAAGGTTACCCCGGCGAAGGGCCACTCTTAAGCGACTGTCCGATGTTAGCAGGCCGCGCCGCCCGGATCTCATGGGCCCCGAGCCGCCCCAGCGCCCCGGTACTGTCGAAGCGATGGGGCCCGCGGACCTCTCTCGGGGGCATCCGAGAGGGGGGCGCCCAACGAAGGGCGCAGCCATGTGCGCGGGCGACGGGGGGGGGGGGCAGTGGACGTGCTGAAAGAAGACGAGGAAGAACACCAGTAACAAATGAACCCATAATACGAAGAATAAGAATACTCATACGAAGAGTAACAACAATAATACTGGCAATACTGTGAGAATTAATTGAAACAATGAATACTGCTAACAATACTACGAAGAAACATCTGAACACTATAACGAGTAGTGATTAAGAAGAGGGCCATGGAATCCAAGAAATTCCATGCCCCTGTCACGGAATCAACCCTTCCTAATCATTACCCCTCTTGGATGCCCCCGAACCTCTCGCCCCCCGCGCCGGATCGCCGATGCATCTCCGATGTACCGGCCATGCAACGGCAACGTCGGCGGTGCATCGGCGACGCCAGCGTGGAGAGAATCGGACTCCACTTCTGAGGACAGCATAACCCACCCCCACCCCCAGCCAGGACCCACCCCCGACCTGACGGTCCAGGGGGTCCTGGCTGGGGGTGGAAGTGGTCCTTCGGTGTAGAATCCTGGCTGGGGCATGCGGGTGGGTTGTGCTGTCCTCAACTTCGAACCGAATCGCCGACGCATCGGCGATACGGCGCGATCTCTCGACCCCATCCACTCCGACCCCATCCTGGAGGCCCGGACCGAAACCTGGCACCCCGATCCTGTCGATGCGTGGTCCCGCGGACCTCTCGACTCCTTCCCCGCTCGAGCCGCCATCTGTCTTTGACCGGCCCGCAGAGGCCCCCCAAAGTGGCGGCGAGCTGGCCGCCCCGTTTATTTTTTCCGGGGCGCAGGATCTGTATCGAACGAGCAGCACCGAACGAGCTGCATCGAACGAGCAACATCGAGCGCGTTCGATGCGGCACTGTCGGCGACTTGGCCCGAAGAACCCCTGTGTTTCTTTTCGCCTGCGACTCGATCCCCCAAAAATGGGAGAACAGCGCGTGGCGCGGCACCCCCAGGTGGGCGCCCATCGGGTCGTCCTTCGCCAGTTCGGCCTGCTCAGCCTCAGGGGTCCCCTCCTCGGGCGGCCCAACAGGTGGGGGGGGCGGGGCTGCGGGGGAGCACGAAAAGAAGGAGGAAGAGGAAGAGGAGGAGGAGCACGAGGAGAGAGGAGGAGGAGGAGCAGGAGGAGGAGGACGCTGATAATCAAGTACGACGAGAACATAGAAGAAGAGGGGGGCCACGGGGTGGACGGGCGGACTGGGATGAAGACAGCGCCGACGCCGATGACAACTCCAAGAGCTCTCCACGGTTCCGCTCAAGCCGAAACATTGAAGGGGATCGAACCGTGGCGGCGAGAGCGCCCAGCAGGGGCGTCAGAAGGCTGCCCAAACATGCGGATCCCTCGAGCCTTGGGCATCCCAAACTTCCGACGATCTGATTCCCCACATGTTCACTGGGTCTCACCCGCGTGGCACCCGCATCATCCTCATCCTGCTCCCCTCCTCCTCCTCCTCCTGCTACTCCTCCCCTTCCTCCTCCCCTTCCTATTCCTCCTCTTCCTCCTCCTCCTCCTCCTCCTCCCTCCCCTCACCCACGCGCAACACATGCAGGGCACGAGCATGAAACACGCGTCAACATATAGCCGCACGCACGCACACACTTGCATGCGCCCACGCGCAGCACATGCACGGCACGTGATCACACACCCGTCAACGTACAGCCGCACGCAAACACACACTAGCATACACACCATCCAACGCTACTGCACGCCAGGCGTGTTCACTGCATCATGACCGTTGGGTGTGTAATACAGTGAGCCCCACATACACATAGGGGGTGCGTGGGGGTGGCCTCGCAGTGCGGCCGCTAAGCGCCCCGGTCGCCCAGGGCAGAGCAGGCGTTGTGTATGGGGTTACGGTTAGAATACAAAGGTACAGAACCCCCGGATCCGCAGGTAGAGGAAGGAGGGAAAAATAAGGATCTTTTCCTCCTGTGCGACCCGCGTCCAGGTCTCTTCCAGCGCCTGAGCCGATAAGGCAGGCGAAAGGGCGAGTGAGGAGTACGAGGTGCGGGTATGAAACGGGTTCCTTGCACACCCCCCGTCCCGAATCCCGCCCGCGCGGGCAGGAATCGGGCAAAGGAAGAAAGAACCTGTCACCCTCTTACTCCTCAAAAGCGAGCGTCCCGAACACGCTAGCAGGGTCCGCTTCTGCCATTATCCAGCGCCACTGCAAAGTGTGAACAGGCAAGGTAACGAACGAAGGATCATCCAAGTGTCCATGATCCTTTCCGAACGCCCTTTAGGTGCCCCTCGGTGCGCCCCCAATACACGCTTCGGCACTCGAGGCATGAAAGGAATGGGACACGGATGAGAGAAGCAAGAGGAACTGAGGAAATGAAAGCAACATCAGAAGCCGCTGCGTCCAGCCTCATCGACGAGGATAGGACGCAGCGGGTGTTGCCGCCGGCGTCAAAATGAGAGTAAGCCGAATCAACTCAGTCAGTGCTCCGTCAGCTGTCGCACAGAGGATATGCAAATGCGTTCTCATTCATGTTTATGGCGTTGTAGATGTAAATCAAATTCAATGTCGTGCTGATTAACGCGAAGAAGTACATGAGCAAACGTTGTCATGACGGGTGAGTCTCTGCGGCAGTTATCTCCTGAGGAGCGCGCCGTAGACGTCACCAAAATGTTTGCGAGGCCACTTATCGATAGTAGTGAAGTGGCCGAAAAATATTGTGTCTGGTACTGCTCGAGGCGAACTCCGCAAAGGCTAAGTTCAGGCGATCTCGAGCAGTGGGCCTCGCGGCCGACGTCAGTAGGCGTTGTCGGCCGCGAAATATGCCGCTGGGCCGCGCTGGTAGAACTCGTTGTCCCAGACGCGGCGGCCATCAGGACCAACGCAGCTGATCCTGTGCGTCTCCCGCGCGGTCCGCTCGTACCAGTCGGAGAAGCGAGGGTTGCGCTGGATGTCGCGCAGGTGCACGAACTGGTCGTTGTTCTCCGCGATGTAGATCCAGCACTTGTTGAAGTAGCTCCAGTGCCTGGGGCCCCACTCGCTGCCCTCGAGGTCATTGCGCCAGTAGGCGGCGCACTCCTGAGCAATGCGCGCCCTCTTTGCTGCATGCTGTTCATAGGCGGCACTCCGGTAGCCGCGCGGCGCTTGCCAGATCTCTGGGCCGGGGCGCTTCGCCTGGGCGGGTGCCGCCCCCGGCGGCTTGGCGCGCGGAGGCGTCGCCGGTGCGCGCGCGCCCTCGACTGGCGGTCCGGCCGGGCGCGTCGCCGCTGGGCCAGCGCTGCTGCCGGCTGCCTGCCAGCCGCCCGGAAGGGGGCGCGGCGGCGGCGTCGCCGCCCGGCCCAGCGGGCATCGCTGCCGGCGCGCCTGGGGCGCGCGGAGCAGCGGCGGCGCCGGGGCCATCGCGAGGCGGCTGCGCCATGGCATCGAAAGGAGAGGTCGTAGGTGGAGGGTTCGTATTAGGATCGGTGCCAACCCCTGAACTCTTCCCCCCATCGCCTTCACCTCCCCACTTGGTTCGTGGGATGTCATGCCCGCGGGCAGGCGGGGCGGAAGCAGCCTTAGCAAGATCACGACGCGTAGTCCGGTCGAACGTGCCGTCCCCGCGGGGTACCGCAATCATGACCATGCAGACCGCGCTCTTGCCGGGTGCGCCTCTCCATCCTGCCCTGGTTCAACCACCAGTTCCTGCGACCAGCGAGGCCAAGGGCCTGGCTGCGATAATGGATATCGCGCGCCCAACCCGTGTCCTCCTCGGTCCAGGGCATCTTGCCGCTAGCCTCTCTGGCTTCGGTCATCTGGTGGTGAAACCGAGACTCGTTGAGGAAGCGCTGAAGGACGTTCTGGTAGGGAAGGTACAACGTGCGATGGTCGTCGGGCTCGCCCACAAGCCGGCAGTCGCTGGCAGGTGGACAACCCGCTTCGCACCACAGTTTGTACCTCTCCTCGGCCTTCTGCGCCATTCTCCTCAACTTGTTGCGCTGATCCGTCCAACTATCTGCCGAACGTTGTCCCCCGAAGTAGATATTCGTGCCCACCACGAGGAACCGGTCCACCTCGGTCTGAGACAGGTTGGTCGTGATCCACTCGTTTAGCTCCTGCAGATACGCGAGGTCCGAGGCCTCTGCGCCGCCTGCCCCGGTGGCACCTACAGACGAACTATAGTGCAAGCATGCGCCACACAGGGTTCCGTTTGTGACGACGGTGTCCAGGGGAAGGAAGCGACTGCAATTGCTGCAGCGAGGGATCTCATGCTGGAGCGACTCAGGGCCCCCCCCTGAAACGAGTTCCCCAAAAGTCCCCCAGCGGGTGTTGCCACCAGCTGCAGAAGCGAGAGAACGACCAAGAATGTTCATCGCATCTCGATTGAGCTCAGCGGTGGCACGAGAAGCGACCGATCGACCGATCCCCTTGATCTGAGCGAGCGACAGTCGATCACCGGGCAATCCGGCGCATTCGGTCGGTCCGCAATCTGAAACATCTAAGTTCCTGCAAGTCTTGGCCAACTCCGCGCGAATGCGCGTAGCCTCGGCCTGGAGTCCTGGAGGGTATTCTCGTTGTCACTCTCGTTGCGGTTAAGCTTCTGCTGTGTGCCAGGACCTGGACCATCGTCTCCTGATCTGGTGCTGCCGAAGCGACGCTTCCTGGGTCCTCGGGCACCTCGACGGGAGCTTCGGGCTCGGCGGCGCCTAACTCGTCCTGGCCAGGCGCAGCAGGTGTTGCCACCGGCTCTTCCCATGGAGGAAATCCTGGGGATCCGTGTCGGTTTTCGCAGGTTTTATAATACGAGCGAAGTGCAGTAAGGGCATGATGGTGAGCACTGATGGAGACCTTGTTAAACTCTGTCAGCTCTGGGATGTCCTCCAGCAAGAAGTGCTGGTACACCTTGGCGGTCCACTGGAAGATCCCCGTCGTGGTGCCCTGCACAGACTCGGAGTCGAGGAACTGACGCAGCGTCTTGAAGAAATGCTCGGCGGTGCACACGGGAAGATCGTGCGCCCACGTGGTAGTGTGGTCGTAACGAATCTTATGCATGTCGGTCTCAGCCCCGAAACGAAACTGAAAGATCAAGTACGACTCGAATTTGTCCTGCACGGCGCGATTGGGGCCGCCGTGAATTTCGACCACTTGTTCGAACTTGAACAACGGCGACTCCATCAATGGTGCCGAAGTCCAATAGTACACGGAATGCGTATCTGAGCGGGCCGTCCAGCTGTTGCTCTCGTCCGGGCGGTAGTCCGGCTGGTCAGCGACCCGTTCTGGAGGGTCGATGATGCACTCAGCGAGCGAGGTGCCGGCGTCCTGGTCCGCCTGGATCTCGGCCGCCATCTCAGCCTCCATAGCTTCGTTTGCGGCCTCCTGCTCGTCGCTGACCATAACCTCGGAAAGGTCGACGATGATGGTCGGACTCTCGTCGGAGGCGCTGAAATCAACCGTCGCGCGCTGTTGGGTGTCCTCGTCGACCTGCATGTTGTCGTCAGCGGGCGTTGCCACCGGCTCCTCAGTGGACTGTGCAGTCCGAGGAGCGGTGTCTCGAGGCGATGGTATCTTGGCGATCATCTCGCGCTGGTCAAGCGTGGCGGAGGTCTGCATCAGGAGTATATGTGTAATACGCTCCTCCTGCACGGTGGCGGCACGTGAACGAAACATTTGCATATCGCAGCGGGTGTCGCCACCTGCTTCTGGCAACTGGATCAAGTCCTGGCCGACGGGCGTGTCGTTCTGCTTGAAGAATTCCTTGTAGTCTACGTGCGAGAACGCCCAGATCATAATGTCGTCGCGGACCATCGTTGCCAGATGCTCGAGCGCGGCGCCCACCATGTGCTCCGACCTGTTAAGGCACGGGAAGAAGAGCGGGACAAGGCCAATGTTGGAAGTCTCCGCGAGCTGACCACGTCGAGTCGGGCTATTGAGCTCGTCAATGCCGTGCCCTGCGTAGCTCTTGGTGTTCTTGGAGTTGTCTCGGCCCTGCTTCTCCATGACCCACGTGGAGTCTGTGTAGAGGTTGGTCCACTTGTACACATGGCCAGTAGGTCCGAAGGCATGAACGATAAGCATGC